TATATAAACTTATAAAAAGATATGGACTTTAGTTAAACTTAAATTAAAATACAATAGTATTTTCTTGTAAAAATTGTTATCTTGACTTGAGTGTATCTTAAAAATTTAATAAAACTTGTTTAATTTATATTAATTTTTCATTAATTTATTATTATTTTTTTAATATATTACTTTACAAAAAGAGTTTCACATTTTTGAAAATAGTTTTAATAAAATTATTTTATAGATATGAACAGAATAAGATTCAACGTTGTGTTTTTTTCTTTTTTTTTTACCAAATTTACCATTATCTCTTTGTTATGAGAATTGCATGATTTTTCTTCATTTTTATTTGTTATTATTATTTTTTTTTTATCTCTTAACTGATAAAAGTATGTTTTTTACAACTTGAGAATACTTTCAATTTAATTTAGTCTTATTTTTTTTCTTTTAGTTTTTTTTCTTTAATTTTATTTTTTTCTTTTGCTCACTTTTGAGTAGTAGTATTTAATTTTATAGAAAAGGTCGCAATTTCTAAAATTCTTTTAATTCCTATGAATCTTTTTATTTTAAAGATTTTTTTACGTTGATACTATGGTAGTTGCAGTGGTAATACTACTGGTAATTGGTAGTTGCAGTGGTAATACTACTGGTGTTTATTGATAATCATTAAACTGAAATGTATGAAATTAGGCTTGAAGAAGCTATTGGTGTAAATGTTAATAGGTGACTTGAAAAAACTTTTCATCGAAATAAAAGAGATAGAGCAAGATGAAATTAATAGTCGCCAAAAAATACGGAACACTGCTAGGCAGGTAGAAAATAATTTGAACCCAAATGAGAACAATGTGGCTAGGCAAGTTAAAAATAATCGTTGCAAAATGAAAGAGATAGGCCTAGGCAAGATGAAATTAATCATCTACAAAATATACCAAATGCTGCTAGACAAGAAAGAATGTAACAAGAAGTAATACTATTCCAGATTATAATTTTTAAGGAGAAATGAACCAGATTTGTCAATATTGTGGCTTTAATTAATGTCCTGATAAAACATATTTTCTATGTTGCCATAATGGAAAAGTATTCTTACCTCCAATTTTACCATTTACGCAAGATATACAGAGGATTATGTAGATCAATAACTTCAACATGATTTTTTCAAAATAAATTAGAAATTATAACACCTTTATTTCTTTTGCTTCATTTCCGGCTAATGTGGTTCAATCCATGAATCATGGGCTGTCCTGTTTTTGAATATGTGGTCAAGTTTTCATCATGTAGGTATTGATAGGCCAGATCAAGATATTTTCCCAACATATTGCCAACTATATATCCATGATCCACATGATAACTAAAAATTTGTATCCAGACTGCAAGTGATTACCTTTTAAATAAATTTAAATTAAATAAATTCCTTAATGATATCTTTTAGCATGGTATATTAAAGAAAGTTGTTCCCATGTTCAGGTTATTGTTGTAATATTATTATTGCAGCCATCATAATTAGGAAAAATCTCAGCAATAACAGTCAACCTTAATCTGTGTGAGTTCAGCATCAGGTTGGCAAAAAAAAATGTAAAACAAAGGTTTGACCATAAAACATAGGAAAAATCAGGTCAGCAAAAATAGTCAACCTTAATCTGTGTGAGTTCAGCATCAGGTTGGCAGAAAAAATGTAAAACAAAGGTTTGACCATAAAACATAGGAAAAATCAGGTCGGCAATAATAGTCAACCTTAATCTGTGTGAGTTCAGCATCAGGTTGGCAGAAAGAATGTAAAACAAAGGTTTGACCATAAAACATAGGAAAAATCAGGTCAGCAATAATAGTCAACCTTAATCTGTGTGAGTTCAGCATCAGGTTGGCAGAAAAAATGTAAAACAAAGGTTTGACCATAAAACATAGAAACAAGGTCTGCGATTTTTTGCAGACCTTAAACACTTATAGATTGGCAGTTGGGTTGACATTGCCAAATGCCGACCCTAATTGCGAGGGTTGTTATTGTGATGTTTCGTGTTGATAGACAGCTGGTTAACCATAGGCACCAGCTTTCCACTGGTGTCTATGGTTAAAAATAATGAATTGGTAGTTTCATTCATGGAGCTCACTGCTTCTAAAATTCACCAAAAACCAAGACAATACATTTAGTTATAAATACACTTTGTTTTTGTCTCAATTTGATTTTTTTATCTTTATTACAATTTTTTCATTTCATCTTATGTTATATTGTTTATGTTTTTTAAATGGTTTTAATAAAAGATTTAAATGGATATTTTTAATTTGTTAAAGGTAAGAAATAAATAAAAAACAAAGATATGTAATACTCTGGCTTTCAAAAGTTAATGCTAAAACTAAGCGATCCTTTCTTCTTTTTTTTTTTTGTTTAAATTTTTAAACATTAACAAAAATGCAGACAAATAATCATTTTTAGAAAAGGTTGGATTGAAAATCTGTTTGTTGAATTTAAAAAATGTATTTGAAATTGTTTTATAAATCAAGTTAACTCCAACCTTAAAGAAACCAAGAATAGAGAAAAAGAACAAGAACCTTTTTATAACTAGTATAACTAGTATTTCACTTTTATGATGTAAGAGAAGTTTTTCATAAAATCGTTGATGGATAAATATTGAAGTAATTATCAGTGGAGCTTAAGAACATACATCAACTGAAGCAGTGATAAGTTAACGTTAAGTAAAATTAGTAAAATTGAAACTGAAGCAGTGATAAGTTAACGTTAAGTAAAATTAGAAGTAAAAATAATAAATTTTGTTAATGTAAATGAAAACTGAAATTAGGAATCATATGAAAAATGAAAACTGAAATAAAATTGAATATCAACAAAAACAGAAGTTAAATTATTTATTATTACCGAACAAAAATTAATGAATTCGAAAGTAAAATTTGACATAAAAATTTTTTATGACAATTTAGACTTTCTTTATTACTGTTGCACATGTCTGATCACCAAACTGGTCACGTGTTTTTTGGCTTGTTTGCCATGCTTTTATAATAAAAGATTAAAGGTATTGTTGACGTAAGAGTCAAACTCTTACGGCAACGATACATTTTATCTTTTGTAACAAAAATATATATTTCAAGACACTAAAGTGTTAATGAAATTAATTAGATGATGAAAACATCATAGAGATGAACCTCTGGCACGGTGTTAACTCACTCGTAAGTAGCACATTCCAATATCTAGTGAAATTATCTGTCCACTTTCTTTATGCTATCTTTCTAACTTGATTTTTACATTCTTCGTTCTTCCTAACCTCACTCTTGGTCAGTAAGTTGAGTGATGATGCTCTTTAGTGAGCTGAACTTGACTTTGCTGGTCCGGGTATGTGGCCTCTATTTGGCAATTAGCCAGAGGAGGATAAACCACAATACCCATCATTAGAGATAAGAGTTTTTATGAAACTACACAAGAATATGTGATTGAAATTCAAGCATATTTTTTTTTACAGTTTCAAAAATAATCTTATCTCAATTTAATTCAATTGTTAAATGAGTGTTTTACAATTATTGTTTGATTATTTATATTGTATTATACTATTTTAAGAAATTGTTTTAACATTGTTGTGTTGAAACTTTGATAATGGTACTTAATAATTTAATATACTGGTAAAAATTTCCAAAAAAACTTGATGAAGTGAAATATTAACTGAATTAGGAACTAAAATAAGAAGTAGAATTGTGGAAATCATAAGAACTGAACTGAAATTAATTTTAAGAGAACTGATTTAAAAATGAAATTGGAATTATTTTATAAGTAAAATCAGAATTGAAATTAAATCAATGCCACAAGAACTGATTAGAAACTGAAATAGAAATTATATTTCAAACTTGAAAATCATTGAACTGAGGGCTTGAGTTTGAGCAGATACAATCAAGATATGAAAAACCTTTATTAAAGCTATAAAACTTTTTGTTTTTTACACTTCTTCATTTTTTCTCTACCTGTAAATGTGTTACGACTAAATTCAACATTTAAGTTAGTAGAAAATACATAATTGAGTAAACTAAACTTAATTAAGTGAAGTAAACTTAATTTAAGTACACTAACCACTCTGTGATTTCAGGAAACAAAATTTTATTATCAACTTGAAATCTAAAAAAAAAAAGAAAGAAAGAAAAAGATTTAAATTAATTAATTTTTATAAATTAAAATAATAAAATAAAATTATATTAAACTTAATATTAATATAAATAAAAATTTTTATAAAATGTTTTATATGATCATACCCTTCTATACCATCAAAGGTAGCCTCTTTTGTATATTTTTGACTGTCTGTATTAAGTCCGTGCTAGTTTTAATAAAATTAAAAATCATTAATCTAAATTAATAAAAAAAAATTATTAAAGAAAAAAAAAACTAAAAGATAAAAAAGAAAGAAAATTTACCAAAGTAAGAAGCAAAGCAGCTTGCTTTGAAGATAAAACCTTTGCAATCTAAAAATATATTTTAATTTAAAATTAAAACCTCCAATCATTTTATGGTCAAGTTGGTTTTATGATGAGCCTAATTTTTGATTCGGTTGATTTTTACGTCAATTTGGTTTTAACTTTAATTAAGCTAAAGTTGCTGAGGAAGCAATAAAAGTGTTGAAACATTGAAACATAAAAAATTATAACTCTTAATCAATTATAGTTTAAAATATAATATCAATTGAACAGTTAATATGAATTTCATGTAATAATTTAATTGTTTAAACTTCAGATACATCAATATAATTAGGAATATGTGCAGCAGCATACCAGGAAAGAATTGAAATGTTTATAATAAATTGAATATTACTAAATTACTAAAATATCATAAATCATTGTGGTTTTCATTTATACCTCATCTGTATAATACACTTCATCCACTGCATATATATTTTGAAAGTGTTCTGTTGGATGAATACTAAAAAAAAATTATCCATAATTAATAAATTTATTTATTCAGATTATTCCAAATTGAGGAAATCAGTACCTTAGACACTTCCTTAAGTTTATTTCATTTTATACTGAAAAAAATTTTAATCAATAAACTCCACTAACAAAAATTATTTAAAAAAAGTTTAAATAAATTGATTAAGAACAAAATACATATCACCATTTTTCAAAGTTAAAAATATCACCATTTTTCAAAGTTAAAAGAGAATTTATGTATGTTTAAAGGTATTATTATGTATGTTTAAAGGTTTAAAGGTTAACCTTTTAATCGCAGATTTATATCTGCGATTAAAAGGTTAACCTTTAAACCTTTAAACATACATAATAATACCTTTAAACATACATAAATTCTCTTTTAACTTTGAAAAACTTGTCTTTTAAAACTGACAAATATGTAGAACATATAAAGGGTGTTGCTAAATTAACTGACAATTTGTGGATACTATGCCAATAGAAATGATCCTCTTTTGAAGCGAACCAATCAATTACCCAATTTTGGACTATTTCATAAGAATCAAAGTATTGGGAAGGGACTAAGTCTGGTAAATATGGCTGTTGGGGTGGTGCTTTGATTGCATCCTAAACTGATTTTGCATTGTGTGAAGGTGCATAGTCGTATAACAAAATTACTTTGCTGTCTTCTGGCTCATTCTGGTTGTTTTTCAATCTATGAATTGTTTAAATCAATTATTTGTATGCTATAACGATTTGTATTAACAGCTTTCCCAGGTTTTTGAAGCTCATGATACACCACACCATTCTGATCCTACCAAACACATAGCATTGCCTTCTTGCCAAATCGATCTGGTTTTGCAGTCAATGTTAATGGTTGTTCTTGATGGACAAAGTGTGGAAAATGGATGCAATATGAATTAAATGAAAGACAGATACTGTTAAAACACTTGTAAAACCTTGCTTTAAAGACACAAATGAAAATCAGTTTTGAATTGAATTGTTATTGGCAATTAAATCATAACCCATGATTTGATTGTCAATAACAATTCAATTTTTACAGTACCTGGCTTTCCATTTTCATCCTTTCTTTAATTCATGTTGCACCCATTTTCCACACGTTTGGATTTTTAAAATAGCTTTAAAATGATTGGAAGATTGTTTATTATGCAACATTTAACATCCCAAAATTGCTTGAAATTTAACATATTCACAACAAATTTATTTACCACATTTGATGCATGCCTTAAAATATTTCATTTATATTGCATAATTTCCTATGATAATACGAATTACTAGAGATAATGAACATAATAATTGCTCTGTTTTAAAAAATGTATTTAAACACTTAAAAAAAAGTTTTAAGTAGGCTCCTGAAAGTTTCAGTAAATTAGAATAAAAACAAAAAGTTCAGTAAATTAATAATGTACTAGCCCACAAGATTTTGGAGCATCATTTTATTTTTTACATGAAAAACTTATTAAATTTTTTTTTTTTAACAAATAAATAGCAATTATTTTTCTCGCTTTCCTGTGCATTGATAAAAACAGTAAAGTCGCAAAGATATTTAAAAATTGTCTGTGTTTCTAGAGCAAATTATAAATTTCCTTAATATACTGACTGAAAAAGTCACGAAAAAAATGTATAACAAAAAATATTTTTATTTTCAGTATAATCTTATCTACTTTTTTCCTCTACAGACATATCTGATTTAGATTTGGAGAATATAAGCCGCTGGTTACAAAAAAAAATTAAATAAATTTAAAACAATTTTGTTGTAATTTTATTAAACTATTTTGCATTTAGAATTTGTCTTTCTTTTTTTTTTTTAAATCCTTGGATGGAAGGGGTGATTAAATAAATCCCACTGTCCACCTTAATATGTCAATGACTATATTAGTCTTAAACTACTAAATAATACCATAAAGATATTGATTGTTAAAATGTTTTAAAAAACATTTCAGTATCTTTGGTTTTAAAGTTTATGATTTTTAAAATTATGAAAAGATTTCAGTTTAAAGTGCTTACTTTGAAATAATGAAAATAAATTGTTTCTCAAATTTAAACTAAAAAAAATTTATGTTTTTAATTCATTTTAAGTATAAAAAAAATAAATAATATCTAGGGAGAATGAGGATGGGGGGGGGGGGCAGAGTTAGTCAGAGGCCCCCTGGCCCTTCCTTAGCCCATGACTATAAATGTCCTAAACTAGTCAATAAATAACACTATTTGATGTTTTATTCAAGTAAATGTTTTAAAAAACATTTCAATTGCTTTTGTTACAAAATTTAAATTTTTCTAAAAAGACACAAATTTAAATGCAAATTTTGATCAATTATTGGAGAGATGATTAATGAATCTAATTTTTTTCAGTAGACCTAAAATAAAATAATGATATACAATTTAACTTTTTACTCGGGATTTCGGGCCAGTCTTTATTTTACCTCCAAAAATCATAAATTTACAAGTCAATAATTTTGAACAAAATTGAATAAACGAGGCATTATGCCATTATGAAGATACTTTATGTCAAAGTTGCTTTGTAAATGCTGAGTCAGCATTAGTTCAACTGATGATATCTCTGGAACCCATGTGTATTTTGAACTAAAATTTTCCCAAATATTATTTTTTTTTAATATGGACTGCAAGTAAGGTAAAAATGAACAAGTTCTGAGACATAAGGGTGTCAAAAATATTTTCTTTGATGACTTCATATGGAATTACCCTAAAGTTAAAGTTATTTTTCTTACTGTTAAACTCTTATTCTTTTTTTTAAAGGTATGTCAATATATAATTTTTTTAAACTGTTATTTTTAAATTAACTCATCTTTTTTATTACATTAAAATATACTAACTAAAATTGCTTCATAATTTAAAAAAGACTGTGCATTGTAGTCTGCATTCTTTATTAAATTAGAATACCTGATGCTAATAAACATTGTTTTATATTATTGATAAACAACTTAGTTTATTTCAAAACCAGTTTACTTTTTTGTTATACTAATTTGTAACTTATATATACAACTATCTATATAAACTTATAAAAAGATCTAGATTTGAATAAATCTTAAATCAAAATATAATGTTTATTCTAAAAATTGTTTTCTTGAAAATTTTAATAAATTTGGTTAAATTCTCTTTAAGTATTTACTTTAATAATAAACCAGTTGTAAAATTAACAAGTTAAATTGTAGACGTTTATATATCATATATTCTAAAATAATTGCATTTGATTTTTTTTTTATAAATACTTACATTTTGCATTGATTTTTTTACTCTTTTAAACAATTTGATAAAGTTTTTTATAGATTAGTAACTAAATAAGATTGAACATTTTGTTTTTGTTTGTATTACAAAAATTACCATCATCCCTTTGGTATTAGAGTTGTATGATTTGGTTAATTTTTGATTTAAACTGAATATTATCATTTGCTTTTTTTTTATCTCTTTACAGATATGTTCTTAAAAATATGTTTTTTACAACTTTAGAATATTATATACTATTTTCTAATTTAATTTTGTATCTAAGTGTTTATTTATTTTTTAATTTTATTTTCTTTTTTTTTTAAATAACATTGATTTATGAAAGTTACTTATTTTATTTTATTTTTTTACTTTAGAAAAGTAACTTGCTTATTAACTGTAATTGTTCCTTATGCTCAAACATTCTAATAAACAAAATACGCTGCTAAGTAGTGCTTTGCAGCATTAAGTGGAAAGCAGCAATACTGATGTAGAGCTTGATTGTGTTGTCCTTTTTATTATTATTCTGGAAAACACATAATAATGAATTTTGTGTATCATTCACTGTAATTATCTTTGTGCACTTACAAATATCCAATGCTATGTGCTATTGTTGCAGTGTTTTGTGTTGATAGACAGCTCGGTTTACCTTACCATTGCTTCTAATCATTCATTAAAGATGGAGACAAAACGTTTTGCAATAAATATATATTAGTCAAAAAAGATATATTAGTCAGTTTTGCAATGAATACATCTATTAAACAATAAGTTTTAAACTTTTCAGGATTAGATTTTCAGGATCTATTTAAAAGAAATTATTTTGTTTTCAATGTTGATGAACATTCATTACATACATTATTATATCATTAAAAAAATTTTATTCAATGTTGTGGTTCAAATGTACTTATTTTATACATGAATATTTTTTTATATAATAAATTTTAAACAATTTTGTTTGTGGAATCAGTTGTTTCTACAGATTTTTTAAATTGAATTTCAATTTTTTTGAAAATGTAATTAACAAATAATTATCAAAAATTGGTCACATTATTTGATTATAATGATCAAAACTTAATCCACTCAATAATATATTCAATATTGTGTAGAGCAAGGGGGTTAAACTAGCTAAAGTACTTGGCTTTTTTTCTTTTAACTTATTTTTTCCTTCAGGTTTTGGCAGGCTGTACTTGGCTTTCCTTCTCTGGTGGCTGCAGTTATAATTGATTTTACAAAGAACCTAATAACTTATGCAGTCTTTTTATATCATTAAAAGCAAGCAGAAATAAAAAAATGATATATAGATAAATTTTATTAGACTTTTCAGATAATATATCAAGTTAAATTGTTATTAATGATTTATTTACTAATAACCCATATAACAGGTTGCTTACTGCTATTTTACAGATTGCTTACTGTTGTTTTAGATTAAGAATTATGGTTGTTAACATTTTCACAAGTACCAAGTATATTGTTTTCTAATTTCACATTACATTTTGTAAAAAACCCTTATCTTAATTATATCCTTTATATATACAAATATGTTTGTTTATCATTATAATTAGAAAAAAGGGTAGTCTCCTTGACTGTAGTGCCCCTCCCCCCTTGGCCTTAAATAAGTGAATACAATAAGAAAAAAAATTCACAAACCAATTTTACATATTCCATTTAATATCTTACCTAGACTTCTTGGTTATGCAATATTTTAACAGCCTATAATAAAATATTATATTAGCTAGGACTACAACATAGTGAAAACTTGCCTGCCCATCCATATTATGTATGATTCAGGCAATCGAGGAACAAATAGAATAGATTTCCCTGTTGTTATATCAACCGCTCCATAACAATCAGGTTCTTTCACTCCAAACAACCAATGGAAATATGATTCCTATAACAAAGGTATGAACCCATTATTTTAGTAAATCAAGATATATTACCTTAATAGTTAAAAATCTGATATAAAAAAACCAATATATTCCTTATAATTACCAAAACTAATTTGAATTTTATTCAAGTTAATATAAAAGCTTCTTTATATAACTTATTTAATTTTTGTTCAATTTATATTATTAATTACTTATTATAGCTAAAATTGTTTTATTCTAGAACAGCATAAGTATAATTTCATGAAGAAGAAAATCAAAGTAGTCAAACAAACAGTAATTATGCAATAATTTTTTAATAAAATATAAAATTTTTAAACTAAGTTGAATCATGTTCATCTTAGTCTTGGATAATATCTTTAAGAACATTTTTTTTTTTCCACAACTTGTAAGAAATGATTAGTTTACTAAGAGATAAATTGTTAAATCTCATAACTTGATTTTTTTGTAAAAAAAGCAAAACATGTTTAGGCTTAAAATTAGCTATAAAAAAGCAAACTATATACTGGAGGTAATCAGTGGGAACTATAAGTAAGTCAGAAAAACAAAAACCACAGTTAATAACAGAAATCTGTTTCTTTAATAAAATTCTTATATCAAAAAAAATTCTTATCTTCCTTATTTTCACTATAAATTATATTTATATTAATATATAAATATTTATATCCTAATCTTCCTTACTTTCCTAAAATATTATTATTAGTTTAATATCATAATAATTTATAATAATTTAGTTTATCTACTTTACTTTACTAAAAATAGCCTAATCTTCACTACAAATTATATTTATATCTAAATATTAATACTGCAATGAATATTAGTGTTGTTTCACTTTCGTTTTAAAGGTAGTTTCTAGACTTTTCTATATGCGGTTTTATATTCCACGTGGTCTTTCGAGCAAGGTCTTTATGCAAGTTAGAGCTGATATATTTTTAGTTTCAAGGAGAATTGATGTTGTCCATTGTTTAAAAACTAAAATAAAAATTTAAATAATCGTTTGTTTGTTGTTGGTTGTTTTTCACTTTTCTAATTTTTATAGCCTGCTTTCATTTTTTAGAAGAAGTTAGAACTAAAATGACTGGTAAAATAGTCTTTTACTACAATGTTTCTTTTTTAGTAAACTGTTTCAGTTTTGTTGTTAGTCTTTTTAGAATATTTTAAACAAGTATTGTTTTATATTTTAGAGCAGTTAAGAGGAGCTGATGTCTTTTTTCGTAAGTTCAATTCATTTTATTATTTATAGATTAAGATTATTTTTGTAAAAAGAATAATGAGAATAAAATTTTATTTATGTATTTAATATGAAAAGTTAAATAAAATAAGACTGTTATTTGTGGTCATGTAAGTTTATATACATAAGTTTGCATTTATTTCAGTCTATTTTATATTTCTCTATATCTATATGTATATTTTCTCTTAGGAAAAATAATTAGGAAATAGAAAAATTAAAAAAAATTTTCTGGAATTTGTCAAAGGAACGTTGTGTTAGGTTTCATTTTAAGGTATCTGAATATTTATTTAATTGAAATTTTGAACTTTGTTTTTAAATGGTTTCATCTTTTAGATAAATATATACTGACTGACATTTTTTTTAACAATGTTGTGCATTTTTGCAGTCTGCATTCTTTGTTACATTAAAAATAATTGATGCTAATAAATGTTTTTTTACAGTTGTTAAAAGTTTGCATATATGTTTATATTATGCTCAAAGTTAAAAAAGTTTTTGATAAATATCTGTATGTAGTAATATATGTTATGTAGTTGTTTTTTTAATGTGTTTTTATAATAGTATGAAATGTATTTTATCCAATGTGTATATGATTGTTAAATGAGGTGTTTTTGTATGTTATATAACATAAAAAAAATATGTTGTGTTTTATAGTTAGTATATATCGATGGCATGGTGCACAGATGTGGTAAGTGCAAGATTAAAAACTGTAAAAACTGTCATTTGCGCGCGTAATTATAATAAGACTTTTTGTATTTACCACATATTGTCAATTAGTAGACTCTTTATTGTTTATCGTACACATACCATATTTATGCTAGATAAGCTATAAATAAAAACACGTTTTTCTGCGTACTTATCTCAATTTGACCAAAATTTGAACTTACCATATCTGTGCACTATGCCATCAATATGTTTATATAATGTTGTTTCCATGATTTCAAAGTGGTGTGACTTGGCAAACGTGTAGAGCAATATTTGTCAACCTTACCAGTCAAGTGGTGTTACTGCTTTAGGTTTAAGTTTTGTCTAGCCTTAATAGAATATAACTATGCTGAAAATACATAACATTATCTTTGATATTTTTTTGCATAATGTTGTTACCTTTGGCTTATCTTTATGTTGGTGTCTGTTGTTTAAAAATATTTATAGGTAGTTTCATTTACAAGTTCAAAATGTTTAATTAGACATTAAGTAGATGTTTAGTAGCTTAAAATTATAGGTAATATATAATCTTTTTTAAATTTTATTAAGTAACTAATTTATTGTAATCTTTTTTTAAATTGTACTTTTAAATTTAAAGCTTCGTGTTATAGATGTTAATATTGAAAATATAGATTACTATAATTGTTAGATGGTGTCTAGCGTTAAAAGATGTTTAAGGGTAGTTTCATGCTTTCACATACTTTTAATAATTGGGATAAAAGCCATGACAACATTTTGTTATAATTAAAATTAATTTTAATTTAATTTATACTTTATTTTAATTGTTTACATTTTATTAGGATTTAGATTATTAGAAAATTGATGTTTACAGAGTTGTTATTAATCATAATTGAGTTGTTGTACCAAGGAAATTGTAGAGGTTTATTTATAAAATATACTAAATATACTATTAAGAAAATTTTGATTTTCATATGTTTTCACTAATAAATAATTATATATATATATATATATATATATATATATATATATATATATATATATATATATATATATATATATATATATATATATATATATATATATATAACAACTTGTTTCTCCGCGCAGCGGCCTTGTTCGTCAAGGTTCGTGTTTCGGAGTTATAGAGTTGAGAGAGGGTTATAACCACTATTAAGTAGCCTCCTTGTCTGTAGTGGCCTTCTCGGCCTTGAGGAGGTGAATAACAAAAAAATATATATATCCTTAGAGTCGCGGCAGCGTCATAGTTTGTGTGTTGGAGGGGGGAGGAATTTACAAACCTGTATTAATAACCTGTTTCGTATTGTACATAACGCATTGATAAGTTTTATTATGCGTTTTATTGAATGTTTTCTCCCAACACATAAACTATGATGCTGACCATTACGTCGCTCAGCTTCTGTTGTAAAAATGTCTACTTAAAGAAGGTGATAGACGTTGCTATAATTTACATACACATGATAAAGTTGCTGTTGTGTTTGTTGGTGAAGATGGTGCTCCCCCAACTTTCAGGGAAGTTGTTATTTATCCAAAAAGTCGTCCTTTAAAAATTGTATCAAGTATGTCAGCCAACTTGGATCCTATGGTTTATTCTCTATTTTTCCCAAGAGGTATGCTCATTTAACAATTTTAAGTTGTTTCTAGACTTTTCTAGGCGCTGATATATATTTCAGGCGGTCTTTCGAGTTAAGTCAGCAAGCAAATAAGAGCTGATATATTTTATTTTCAAGAACTGATATTTTTCATTGTTTAAAATAAAAATTTAAATAATCGTTTGTTTTTTGTTGGTTGTTTTTTTTTTTCTAATTTTTATAGCCTTTTTTCATTTTTTAGAAGTTAGAACTAAAATGATTGGGAAAATAGTTTTTTTAGTACTATGTTTCTTTTTTAAGAAAACTGTTTCAGTTTTGTCGTTAGTCTTTTTAGAACATTGTTAAAAGGAGCTGATGGCTTTTTTAGTAAGTTCAATTCATTTTCTTATTTTTAGATAAGGATTTTTTTTGTAAAAAGAATAATGAGAACAAAATTTTATTTATGTATTTAATATGAAAAGTTAAATAAAATAAGACTGTTATTTGTGATCATGTAAATTTACATACATAAGTTTGCGTTTATTTCATTCTATTTTATATTTCTCTATATCTATATGTATATTTTCTCTTGGAAAAATAATAAGGAATAGAAAAAATAAAAAACATTCTTCTGGTATTTGTCAAAAGAGTGTTGTGTTATGCTTCATTTTATGGTATCTAAATTTGGATTTATTAAAAATTTTTAATTTAGTTTCTTCTTTTTCATTACTTTATATAAATATATAATGACTGACATTCATATATACTGACAGTATATATTTATGTCTGTATTCTTTGTTACATTAAAAATAATTGATGCTAATAAATGTTGTTTTATAGTTGTTAAAAGTTTGCATATATGTTTATATTATGCTTAAAGTTAAAAAAGTTTTTGATAAATATGTGTATGCAGTGATATATGTTATGTAGTTGTTTTATAAATGTGTTTATATAAATGTGTTTTTATAATAGTATGAAATGTATTTTATCTAATGTGTGCATGATTGTTAAATGAGGTGTTTTTATATGTTATGTAACATTAAAAAAATATATTGTGTTTTATAGTTACTTATATGTTGTTTCTATGATTTCAAAGTGTGACTTGGCAAACGTGTAGAGCAAGATTTGTTAACATTCAAGCGTTCAAGGAAAATTAATGTTGTTCTCTGTTTAATTTAATTTGTTTAAATAGAGTAGTTTTAATAAAAAAATGTTTGTTTGTTCTTGGTTTTTTACTTATTTGTTTTTGGATTCTTAAGAACTAGGCAACTTAGCGAAGCAAGATTTGTTCTATTTTTTAATGCAATTAGAAAGAGCTGAAGTGCTTTTTAGTAAATTTGAGCTGTAATATGTTTAATTAGTCACTTCAAATCAAGTTTTTTTTGTTTTTTTATGTTTGATTAGTCACTTCAAATCAAGTTTTTTTTTGTTTTTTTTTTAAATAAATAAAAGGATTAATAATAATAAAATTTTTTAGACAGCCGAACTGTTACTGATTTGAGTAAGTTTAATATTTTGTATT